GCGACTTCTGACACTTCCCTTGTTAGGGCAGTCTCAGCACGGTTCTTTCTCCAGTAGGGTTTGTTGGGAGAGGAACGACGGAGGAAGGGGAAGGGGGTTCTTCTAAACCTCGGTCTGTAGGGGACTGTGAGTAACTTCTCAAAACATCGGTCTGTTAGTGGCCTACCACTCTGCAGCGGCGCATAGGGCAGTTATATTCTCTAATATATCGATGGTAGTTACGTAAAGATATGTCTCAAGCAGCTCATAGCTTCTGTTGTTTCAAAATACCAGCTTGTGCTACACATAGGGCGAGCGACTGCTTCTTGCAATAATAGACTTTGAGCGGCTCTTAGGACAATTTTTGAAAGTTGGTTTGAAGATTCGAAGGGCAATTTCTTCTTGATATCGGTCTGTGTGCGTCCATAGGGCAACCTTTTCTGGAAAAGGTCCGTAAGCGGCTCGTAGGATCATTCTACATCAGCAGTTCTTTTTTGAAAATATCTTTTTTGAAAAATACCAGTCTGTAAGCAGCCCACAGTGTAGTCTTGTCAAAATAAGGGTCTGTAAGCGGCCCATAGGGCATTTCCTTCTAATGACTAATTACCGTCCGCGGGCGGACCATAGGGCAATTTTTCCGTCTGTAAGCAGCTTAAAGGCTTCCCCGCATATTCGATTTGTAGGGGGGGGGGGATTGTATGGCAGACTTATCCCAGAATACGATATCATTTGTAGGGGTATGAAGGGCACTATTTTCTCAGATACCGCTCTGTAGGAGGCCTGTAGGAAAGTTTTTCTTGAAGTATTCTTCTCCAGGATCGTGGGGCAGCTCTCACATATACCACTCTGAAGGCGCGGAGCAGTACGTATTTGCAAAAAGTGGTTTATAGGCGACGCATAAGGCATTAGAATACAATGCTTGTTTTCGCTGCCGGAATTTTTCGGGAACTGAGGTACTTTCTGAGTGTTTAGCTGAGTGTAGACTACATCGTCGCTTTGAGAGTCGACTGCTTGGTGACTCTGTTGAGATTGGTGCAAACATTTGACCTAAAGAAAATTTTTAGAAGAGAGTCAAAAGGTATCGAATAATCAGCAAAGAGGATTCTCACAATCAGAAGAGTCAAAAGTCATTTATTACTCGGTTTCAGTTGCCCAGAACCCTAAAAAGGTATAAAACGTAGAGGTTATTGTGGTGATGACTATATGTACCCTAGCATACTTGCAAGCGGCCCTTAGGGCCGCTAGTATATAAGATATAATGCATGTGTAGCAAACTACAACAGTACTTTTAAAGTACTTTTCTTGCATCTACTGACGATGAGCTCGATCTTTTTGCTATTACTATGAGCAGCAAGTGTCACTACATTAGGGAATCTCCAATTAGGTTGCATGATCATTTATGAAAGAAATTCTTGAAAGGAAAGGGTCATGAACAGTCATCTGAGAACAAAGCTCGCATGCATTCTAAACTTTGTCTTAAATGTAAGGCCTAACGGGAATAATGCCTTTGTTTGCGAGTGGAATTTTCAGCAAAGAAAAATCCACAAAAAGACATAGGATTTTTAGAAAAGCGAAAAGAGTTTTTTCTCCAGGATGACTTTATTTCGCACCCAGAGCTCAGAGCCATTTTATCATAATTTATGGAGTGATAACACAGGGTACCCCAAAAGCATATACACACTGTTTGATGTCAATGTCTCCCTTACCAAGAAGTCGTTGGCCTACCTTCAGGTACCATTCTGTAAAGCTGTTACAGCTAAGATCTATGGTATGGAGCGATTTACCGATCGCTTTCCATTACTATGGGATTACGGTAAAATAAAACAGCCCGAACTTTACATTGGGCTAATTTCGCCACTAAAACCAATTGCGAAGAGCACTTTACCGTTACGGCACAATGCTTTCTAGAATCGTGATAATCACACTATTTGAAGAGCTTTACAAATTAGTAAAAAGTTTAATGAAATTATCGAGCTTGAAAATCCTTATACACTATTTTTCAGTTTCTTGAAAACATTTCTTGAAAAACGATTAAAATACACGACACTGTAAACTGGAGGTTCTTATTGTAATCTTACAGTAATGAGAAGCAATCGGTGATTTGCTCCATACTGTAAATCTAAGTTGAAGCCAGCTCTGCATTTTCTGGAGCTAAGCAAAACTCTTCTTGGAAGAGAGATATTAACGATCAAACAGTGTATACATACGGAGATACCCTGCATACTGCAAAAAAGGATTTAAGATTGCGCTCTACAAAAGTTAGCATGAATTTCTGTTTCTAAATGCTGGGTTTTCATCATGCTAGAAACTTTATAATATATTCCTATATTAACTATTCAAAATCTGCTTTTCATTCTTCCCGCCAAACAGCTGCCAAGCATTAAGCAACCGATCTGCCAACCACATCCCACACTTGAAAGTGATAACTGCGGACCCTCCCCCCCCCGTGCAGCTGGACGGGGGTCATCCACGCCCATCTTCTGCAGTGCTGGACGCTGTTATCGTAAGGCCAGCAACTTGTTGCAAAATCGTGAGCTCTACCTTCACGCTGACAATCTTTCAAAATTCCATTTTTGGATTTGAACAAGAAATCTGGCAAAACAATGACTTTAGAAATCTTTTGTTTTTCTCTAGCTCAGCTTTTTCACGCGATTTTTCTGTGCATTCATGAATCTTGCTTCTATAATGCCAAACATCAGAGCTTATCTATTTGATTGTGATATGGTTGATAAAAGCTTAAAGAAGTGTATTCTTGTTCAGCTCTTTATTGGTTAGTAAGCAGCCATTTCTTTGCGATGAGAGCATCTTGTTCGGAATTATGAGCGAAGTAAGGATGAAAATGTCGCTAGAGACCGAAACTATGAGAAAGGGGTAAAAATTTGAAGGATGCGTCAAAACTGGATTGCCTTCGACGTGCAGTTTGATTTGGTAGAAACAAAATAGCTGTAGAAATAACGCCAATAAAAACCAAAAATTTTGTGTTTTCATCACTGAATCTTTTTTATGTCTTCCTCCTTGGTAAACTCCACCTCCAAAGCTGCCTGGTTTCAAAACAATTACAAAGAAGCAATCGCAAAGAAGAAATATGCTTTTCCTGGTTTGGGTAGGGCCGAAAGCCGCCAATTTGGGCCGCCTCCGGGACTGCTGGTCCTGGAGCGACATGCAACAACATTGCGAAAGACGACTCAAACTCGACCTTCGTTCCCCTACCTCCTAGTTTTTCCCCCGTGTTGTGGATTGCATGGCCCTAGACCGGAAACCTGCAGGTCGAAATGTCGTTAAACGAAATATTAGGTTGATGCATAATTCCTGCACCAAAATAGGTACAGACCGCAATAACTCGGAGTAATCCTATATCCCAAGCAGGATTCGATATATCATTTGATAGCGCAAACCTAGCTCTACAAGATGTTGCTCAAATATCTTCACCAGCTTTGATCCACGCGAAGTTTTGAGCCAAAAACTGAAAAAAACCATGCGTTCGAAAACCTTAAGACAAATCTTAAAAAATTGTAACTTTGTTCAAAAAGCTCATAAAAATTTTCTTTCTTGCTCACGCGTAGACGTTACGTAAGACATTTATCTATGCGGTTGCTGTATTTTTTTCTCAACTAGGCGATGAAAAAACGAAGCTTTTTGAAGTTTTTCATGTTTTTGCCAGATTAGTGCTGAGATGTTCTAGTATTAACAGTTGTAAAGTACATGCCGTTAGCAGTGAAACTTTACATTTTCAGCCTTCTAGAACTGCTAGTTCGCGAGAAATAACGAATCTAGCTCTCCTTATCCAAATTTTTCTTGCCTAATTGCTAAAAATTCGATATTTCTCGTAAACCAGCTGCTCTAAAGAGCTGAAAATTCACATTCACACTTCTAAGGTCCTATAGTATACAACCGTCACTGCTAGAACATCTCAGCATTGTTTTGGAAAAAACATGAAAAACTTCGTTTTCTCATCGTCTAGTTGAGAAAAAAATACAGCAACCGCATAGATAAATGTCTTACGTGGAACGTCTACGCGTGTGCAAGAAAGAAAATTTGTATGAGCTTTTTGAACGAAGTTACAATTTTTTTAAGATCTGTTTTAAGGTTTTCGGACGCATGGTTTTTTTCAGTTTTTGGCTCAAAACTTCGCATGGATCAAAGCTGGTGAAGATATTTGAGCGCTATCTTGTAGAGCTAGGTTTGCGCTATCAAATGATATATTGAATCCTACTTGGGATATAGAATTACTCCGAGTTATTGCGGTCTGTACCTATTTTGGTGCAGGAATTATGCACCAACCTAATATTTCAAACTCATTGCTTGGTTCATCCGACCTTGAGGAGTAATCTGCTCGTTTCTTTCTGATTTTCTACAAACAGTTTTCACTTTTTATGAGGCAGATGTTCAAACCACCTTCATTTTTTGTGGCTCCATCTCTATGCTATCGAAAGTTGATATCAATTTTTTAACTGTGATAAAGTAAGTAAAAAGTACCTACAGTTTTTGCATTGCCATGTCCATCTAAATTGCGCTTGCGTCAACTCAATACCGTGATTAACGCTTGTACGATATGCTCCCCTTTGAAAATGTGAATTCAAGTATCATTCGTAGCCACAAAACACATTTTCATGCAATCTCACATAGCTAACAGATTTTTTGGATTTAATGGGTTAAAAGGCTGTTAAGTTTTTTTTTTATTTTAGATTATGTGGGCAGCATAAACGCCCACAATGTCTTTTTTGTAGCCACAATAAAATGGCTAAGCTATGTATACATACATATGTATATATGTTGAAAGCATGACAGATACGGCTGTATTGTGCATTTCCTTCCTCACCTCGGTCTTACCTGGAAGTATTTTTCTTGCTGCCATAAATCACAGATAAAAATTTACCCTGTCAAATATAAAGCTTTTCTGCAAATTGTTAAACTTATTATATTTCTATATATTAGGTTGGCCCGAAAGTTCTGTCGCCCCATTCTCAAAAATCTATAACTTTTGAGTTTAGCTACCAATTTAACGTTTTCATTTTTTTTTTATGAAAGAGCAACTCATTCCCTTCATAGAGGTACTTTAGATGCTTTCTGTTAAGCATAAATTGCATAGATAGAAGAGGTAGAAGGAAATTACTAAAATTTGGGATTTTCTGTGTAGAGTCATAAAAAATCCGAAAGTTGCAGTAAAAATCGGAGCTATCAATATCATAAGTTCTGTCACCTGCTCTTTCTAATGTGCAAAATTTGTGCTAATGCAACGCCTCTATGAAAAGTTATGATTTTCGAGCCAAGTAATAGCAAAGGAAGAATTTGATTTATTTTGGCATTTTTCTAGAAAATCATAACTGTTTTTATAGGGACGCTGAATCAGCACAAACTCTGCGCAGTTAGGAAGAGCAGGTAATAGAATCTGTAATACTGACAGCTCCAATTTTCACTGCAACTTTCAAATTTTTAAGACCCTACATAGAAAATTCAAAATTTGATTAATTTTCTTCTATCGCTTCTAGCTATGCAATGTATGCCCATTAGGAAGCCGCTAAGGCACAGCTATGAAGAGAACGATTCGCTCTTTCAAACAAAAATTAAAGCAAGGAAATTGGTTGCGAAACAAAAGCAACGAATTTTTGAAGATGGTGCGACAGAACTTTCAGGGCAAACTAATATATTTTCGTGTTGTTTATTCTTCGAATGATCAATTTGTTCGTTGATAGTTCGTTTATAAGCATTCAATCCATAGAGGCCGATCTCAACTGTAAGCGAAACTATCGAGTCGAACTCAGAACACAATTTTGACGCTGATGTGAAAAGCGAGGCGAAGTGACCTAACCCCAAATTTTATGAAACAACTGTTTGCCCGGTCCTTATCGAGATAATATGATAGAACACAGTAACATCATGTAACCCATCATTCTTTCACTTCCACTCTACTACAACATAACTGTGGCATCTGCCACTTGTATGTTACAAGCGGCAGATGCCTACCACTTCTTTTTGTGACCAACGTGCTCACGGAATGAGCGTGGGGTCAGGCGTGCCCGACCTGGGGTTGTGTGGGCAAGACTAAGGGAGGGGGGAGTGATACCATCGAGTAAGGTGAAGAAGAAAAACGCTGACCGTTGATTATGTGACCCGACCAGAACTGAAAAAATGATTGTCTTAAACATACTGATTGACTCTACCGTCACTTCCTAGCGAAATACTTCTTCATCTCTTACACATACCGTGCGGTCAAAGGCTTGGTGTATTGTAGTAAATGGGTATGATTCCCGTAATCAGCATGTCTAAGGACCTCTGCGATGGTCACAAAACATTACTTATTAATTTTCCTAACGTCAAAAAAGAGTGATTTTTAAGGGCTAACTTGATTTCAAAAACAGAAGAAGTTAGCTTTTTGATACTCGTAACAGTCTAATACTACCTGTAAGTCCATGCTAGAAACTGCTAGAAATTAGACTTCATTTCGCTTTCGTGTAGTGGTTTGAAGGCACCGTCCATTCTAAGTTAGAGGTCTTGTTAGCAGCTTACTATAGTAGAACCCCAACAGGCCAACTCCAATCCCCTGCGCAAAATGGCTTAGAAAACGAGGAAATCGCTTCGAAATAACGAAGAGTTACGAGGACCCTAAATCGGCACCACCTCTCTCCAGTAATGTCCGCCCATCCGTGCGCACCCATCCAGTCAGCATCGCGGAGGAAAAGGCCTGCTGATTTTTCGGAATGGAGATTGTCGGAATTTTCGCGGTCTTTCAATTCAATTTTGGAATCAGCGACATCCAGGAGAAGGTCCTAGAACAACCGAAAAGGGAAGTCGAGAATCTGGGTGGACGGTGACTTCAAGGAGTATGCTAAAATTTAAACCGCCGCATTTTGCACCATTAGCGCTCTAACTCCACGGATCACTACAAAGCCGAAACAAGTCTAGGTGAGCTGAAACACATGTTGTAGAATCTTGGAGATCTGTGCTGGCAAATCGCGTAGAACTTGGGTGAAAAAGCTTTTTGGAGATAAAATCAATGGGGTCAGGCACGAGCTTTCAAAAGGTCAGGCTGCCTGAGCTTTCGGATCCTTGTAGGCTATTTGTATATCTGTGCATGACTACAATTAACTTATCTTCAAAATCAAGAAATGCTCCTTTCCTAGCACGAATATTGGGCTAATAGCCTTTTCTTGGTACAGTGAAAGTTTGGAGCCAAACACCCCACCCTTGGAAAAATTATGGCTCTTCAACTCGTTCAGATCAAAATTCGTGATCAAATGACGTCAAATGGCATAAAGGTGCGGTCACAGGATATCGAGCACAGAAATCACAAAAAACCAGAAACTTCTCAAAACAGGATGATGTCCTCCAGAAAGCCACACTTCGTTTGAGGCTGTCAGAGGGAAAGGATCGTGTTCCAAAAACTTGTGCCTGACCCCCTGCTCAACTGTAGTGCTCACTGACCCTACTTTCTAGAGCAAATCCCAGCCCCCATAAAGTCAAAGAAAAGCGACAAAATTGATAAATGATCCGCTCCTACTTTCCCGTGTTAACAGCCACGTATCTCAAAGTCTGCAAAACATACAGACAAACAGTTCCGTTCCGCTTTATCAACAAACCAATGCGTCACCGCTGCTTCGCAGAAGCTCGTACTGGTCCCTTATCTTTATGCCTTACTGGTTCCCGCAGTAATGACATTGAAACTTGCCGTGCTATGCCGACTATCACGAATGATCTATAACAACTACTCACTTCTAAAGCTTTTCCATGTGAATCGGTATTTTCGCTGGACGAAACTTTTCCCGGAAGAAAAATGCGAATTTAAATTGTCTTTTGGACTGTTCATGGCTTGGTAGTCACCTTAATGAAAAGTGAGTTACGTCTATATGCAAGGATCTTGACAAATGATAAAGTAAAATTTTGGCAAATTGAACACACATAAAACATACACACATACACACATACATACATACACACAAATACACACATACACACAGGCAAACAGACAGACGGTCAAGCGCTTTGTTAAGTAGTGATGATTGGAAAAGAAGCCGATAACTGTGATATCATATGCAGGTTTTTTCTTTCCAACAGCACGACCTCGTATTGAATGCTTTGGTGTTCTAGGCACAGTCAAAATCTCAAATTGTTTTTTACCAAACATAGTTACCTTCATTTTAGACAGTTGAATTGATTGATAAAATAAAAAATAAAAGATTCGGCGTCTTCAATACCCACTGCGGGCATGCGAACGCATATCTTCATAGGCGAAGAGGTAATGATGCGTGCGAAGTTTTTAAATACATGACCTGCGGGGCCTGTCGATCACCAGGTCAGCGCTTTTATCCTCCCAGATTACTCTGATACCAATTTATCGGCCCCGGAGCGGTAGAGGGTTTGGTTGGCCTGAAAGCGGGGATGGAACCTGGATCCGATTTGTTCATCGGCGCCTCATACCACTACGTCACTCGTCCCCCATTTGATTAGTATTTTGAAACAAATGTCAAAGTTTCTCTTATTGGAAATTACGTGTCATCCTTTCAGTTATGAAACATCTGATACTGATGGTTTATCTCGCTGAAGCGCTGGTTGGAGTTGGAACTTCTTTGTCTAACGATAGTGCCATTGCTGGCATAAAAGCGGATCAAGTGCCAGATGTGTATCTCCCAGAAGAAGAAAGGCAACGCGCAGCTGCTATATTACCTGCTGCTATAGTATCTATAGTACTGCCTTTAGCAAAAGGTGCTGGTGTTATTGCAAAAGGTGCACCTGCTATAAAAAAAGGTTTCAAAGTGTTTTGTGAGTAATTCTTTGTGAGTACGCTTACACAAATTTCAAAATGTTGTTTGTTTTCAGTGAAGCATGCCAATGATGCACTGGATCTTGTTAGGAACGTGTTCCAGGAAATTTCCGATTTCTTTGCCGATTTCTTCACGAACGATGGGTAGATATTCACGGTCGAATCCGACCTATATGTAAACAGCAAACACCGTAGCACAATAAAGATTTATGTGCAAACTGATTTATTTTTGAAACGATGAACACAAAGGCACAAAGCACAAAATGAAGGCAATATCATATGACAAGATAATTTGGAAAAGGAAGACAAGACGAGTGACCAGTCTTGGTCAATGCAGAGTATCACACTACTTTTATAGGCCTAAATTGTAGGCGTGGATCACCTTAATTAGGGCTCCGCCCCTCTCTATCAGGACTCCGATTCCTCATCGGCGTCTGTCCCCTGGGTATGTGTGGCCACACCCACTCCACTGGATCCAAATCGATCCCTAGAGAGTTTGGGCCACGCCCCTCTCATCGTCGGAATCTACGGATCTCTCACCGGCGTGTTTCCGCGGGGTATGACAGTCGCGCTTAACTAATTGGATCGGTTATTGATTGGCAATAACTCATGAAGGAAGAAAACGACCAAAAGAAGCACGCTTCGCTAATTAGCGTTGGTTATTGACTGCCAAAAACTCATGATAGAAAACAAACTGCCAAAAGAAGCACTAATACAACATGGGAGTCCCCTCAGAACTAAGCGCTTCCCCTGCGCTTAACAGCATAAAATAACTTTTCACCTCTAGAGAAAGTATCGTAAACAAAAAAAACTGTATGAGACTGAGTCCAGCCTCTCTGAAACCTCACACGCTTCCTGCAATTTTTTTTACTATATTGCAGTTCGCAATACTATTTTCTCTAGCAAAAAAAACATATGACTCCGATCTTTGCGACTTCGGGGGAAAAACTGAACACTGAACTCCCAGGTTCCTAGCAAAAAAAGTATTACATGGAAACAATACTGAATAACATTGGCTAAAGATTATAAACAAAGAAGAACTTGGTGACAACTAACAGGAAAAGCACTAAAATGTGATCACTTAGAGATTCTTCAGAGCAGGAACTAATTGCAGGGTGATCCTTGTGGTGACTGGTCGAACAAAACATTGTCCTTCCAAATTGCATTTGTTCGAACATTCGCGGTCTTTTACGACGACATCCTGTACGTCGCCATCTTGATCTTTTGCGAGCATTTGCGCTGCAAATACATAGTTTTCCCATGGTTTTCGCAGGTGGGTCTAAACTAGGAGGGATGAGTCGAACGTCATACACCATCCATCAACATCATCAGCAAAGGTGATCCCTCCATTTCCTCCAGGCTGATCTTCTCCACCTTTCTCGTTCCCTTGCTGGAAACGCTCTAACGACCCATTTGCATTTCTTCTACTACATTTAGAGGCTATGTGGCCAACCCTACCACAGGAGAAACATCTCAGTGGGCCTTTATGTGGGCCTTTATTTGGATCTCTGAAGCACTTTCTTTGTAATGAGGGCCCATTTGTACTTCTTCTACCACATTTTAAAGCTTTGTGGCCAACCCTACCACACGAGAAACATCTCAATGGGCGTTTATTTGGATTCCTAAAGCACTTTCTTTCCGATGAGGGTCTGCCTTCCTTGGGGCGCGCGTCTACCTTAGCACTATTGGCTCTCACGGTCCTGCACCATCCCTCAACATCGTCGGCCAGGATGATCCCCTCTACGGCACTGCTATGAGGCTGAATGCACCTCATATCTCTTTCCTGTGAAAATCGATTAGCCATCCTGTTTTGGCTCCTCTTACAACACTTCGAAAAGATGTGGCCGACTTCGCCACAAGTAAAACATTTTACAGGGGCCTTATTAGGTGTACCATTAACCAGGGCTTTACTAGAACTCGCTGGATATCTTACTTCAACTTGCGGCTGCACATAGGCATTTACCCCCCCCCCCCCCTGCGCCGACATTAGAGTCACTAGGGGTACCTCACCGCTTTATCTTGAAGCTTTTCCAGCCTTCTTGCTACCTTCTTGACTGCTTCGTAGACTTGCCCTTCAGGCGAGTCTAAAGCAGCAAGCATGTGGTAGGAGTCCTGCCAACTCTCCAAGCAGAATACAGCTTGGAGCCGCGAAGTCCCATTCGCAGCTAGGATGGATTCTCCTAGAGAGGTCCTCCATCCGACAGCAGAAATCTACCACTGTTTCATCATTCCGCTTTGAGAGTTGTTCCCACTCCCTTATATTCTTTAAGCGGTCACAGGGTTTTCTCCGCGCTTGCTTAAAGGCTTCTACTACACCCTTGAAGCTCCCCTCCCGCACTTCTCTCCTATCCCGGTCTTGCCATACGCTTTCAGGGAATTTTACTTCCAGCGCCCGGAGGAAGTCGCTTAGGGAACCCGTGTATCGTGGCACGCTGGTCACGCTTGTGCTTTAAACACCTCTTTAAACATTGTGAACATGTCCGTTACAGAGTTTCCAGCACCTACTCCCTCCCTATGTCCCATATTCACAACTGATATGGACTCACTGATCGTTGATCCTTGAGAGGACTGTGCCGACGATGGTCGCGACGACTTGGGTGAGGCTTGGTGTGGGTCAGAGAGTGGCCCAGCGCTCGTTTTTCGACGTGCGTCGCGTCCCTGAACTTGACTTTTGACACGATGTTGTAATGTTCGGTAACTTTCTCTCGAACCGAATGTGAAAGTCCACACTCACCCTCGATAGGCTTGCCGAAGCCGCCGCGGCCGGCGGGTCCATCTGCGAGAAGCCGGAGAGTTTTGTAGCGGTTCCTGTATCACTAATATTTGCGATTGCAAATCCTCCTCTCTCCTTACACTGTTCAATGCCTCTAATCTAATCTTAGATTGTAAGGCCGCCAATCTGTTTTCCAGATCGGCTATAGTTGCGGCCTTATCCTCGACTACAGCCTCTAACTCATCTATCTCACACTCAAGCATAGCTCCTAACCTCAATACCATTTGACTATGAGAACTGGCCATGGGTATATACTCAAGCAATTCTTCGACGCTCATTTGGAACTTATCACAAAGAGCGGAGTGCGAGTTACCATCATGGTCCAGTTCTCCCCCGAGGCTAACCTGCAACCTCTCGCGCAACGAAATCAATATCTGATCTCGCTTCGCGCGCGAGAGGTGCCTAATTTGGCCATTCAACACATCCCCCATAAAAGTCAAAACGTCATTGACTATCACTCACTTCAAGTGAATTTCAATTGCTGTGTGGTGGTGGTGTGGCGTGTCCGCTTGCCTGTTGCTCCGTTAGCGAATCCATCTTGGAATTCTGCAGCACAAAAAATCAGTTGTGTGAGTTGTTCACCCTCGGCCCCCAAGTCGGTTTCTTCACGAATTAAAACGTAACGTACGTATAATAAATTATACGAGAGAACGATTGATAGATATTCACGGTCGAATCCGGCCGTATATGTGAACAACAAACACCGTAGCACAATAAAGATTTATGTGCAAATTGATTTCTTTTTGAAACGATGAACACAAAGGCACAAGGCACAAAATGAAGGCAATATCATATGACAAGATAATTTGGAAAAGGAAGACAAGACGAGTGACCGATCTTGGTCAATGCAGAATATGTTGATCGGCTTTATTTATCACAATATTGTGCAATCCGTCGTACTGACAGCGAAATGCGGGTTTTTGCTTCTAACGTACTACAAGTTAGTGTTGCAGAGTCATGCAAATGGTATAAAGGAAGGTTACGAAGCTCTCGTATTATACCGGGCGTCCTAAAATTTTTATCGAGAGTTGATTGCTAAACTCTCCTGTCCTAATAGGTTTTGCGAATTATAGGTAGATGGCTAGGTTTAACTTATATCCACAGTACAAAACGAATCAGCCATTGCTTCACATCAGTGTACGAGTACGGTAGGTGAATTAGATTTGTGTCAGCTAGCTTGCAGGACTTTGGGAACGTGAGAGTCTGTTTAAGCGTTACCCCAAACTTGGGAGGTAAAACCTTTATTAATGCTATGAATAACAAAAACGCGCAAACGTGCTAAACTAAACCCTGCTATTGCATGAATGCAAACACAGGATAACTAATTATTAAAGTGCCAGTGCGTCACCTCTTTCGCAGAGACTCGCAATGGCCCTACTTTCTGTATGTCTAGCTCATTCCAGCATAATAAAGACATTGAAACTCACCGCTCCATGCAGGCTAACACGAATGATTTGTAAACAAATATTCATTTCTAGAGTGTGTGAGATCGGTATTTTTTTTCGTGGATGAAACTTTTTCGAGAAGAATAAATGCGAATTTGAATCGGTTTTTGGACTTTTTATGGCGTGATAGTCGCCATAACGACAATAATCACCATGGGCTACATCTCTGTGCAAAAATCTTCTCAAACGACCAGGTATCTTGGCGAATTGAACATTTATGCAATCTTTTTGGCGCCATTTTCGTAAAGCAATCAACTTTAATTCAATTTTTTGGGTTAATGTCCATGGCTTGCACATTCCAAACATGTCCATGACTTCGCAAAAAGTGTTGGTATCGGCCCAATTTTGCTGGTCACAAGCCAAATGGATCCGTTTGACGCGCAATTTTTGGGAATCCGCGCAGCGGATCCGCTTGTGCTTTTGCATAGCGGACATTCATGCTGCTAGCCTTCGCCATGCAAAATTTGGGCTCAGGACGTTAAGTGGAACACGTTCCTCGAATTTCGTAACACACACACACACACACACACACACACACACACACACACACACACACACACACACACACACACACACACACACACACACACACACACACACACACACACACACACACACACATACACACATACACACATACACACATACACACATACACACATACACACATACACACATACACACATACACACATACACATACACATACACATACACATACACATACACATACACATACACATATACACATACACATACACATATACACATACACATACACATACACATATACATACACACATACACATACACATACACATACACATACACATACACATACACATACACATACACACACAACCTTAGCCCGTTATTATAAGTTATGATAGGATCACATGATGATTATGTAATACAGAAAGTTTATCGTGCAATGAGTCGAGAAAAGGCTACCATGAACAAAAGCAAAGAACGACAGCGGCCGTCTCTGACCGCTAACATATGTACAGCAAATACATAAACCTAATACAAGGAATGTCTGCGAGTTATGGAGATAAAGCCTGTTCTCACAGCAACTGTCACAGCACTATTAATAGACGCTTCAAAAAAAGAGGGGTACCTACTTCGATGTATGACCAGGAAAGAAGCGTGAGCCAAAGACTGAAAATTCTTCGGGAGGAATGTCAATGCCTCAACTGCATCGACTGCACGACGCATAAAGCTGCAGAGGGCCCGTTTGTTTCTGTTGCAAGAAAGTTAACCCGACGGCGCTACCATTAAAGGACCATAAGCACGCGAGCATCTGCACCGAGCTCAAAAAGTACACGTGAAAGATTCAACTATGGAAAGATCTTTTTGAAGGGATTGACAGATGCAAGGGAGAACTTATGAATTTGTGGACACGCAACGCACCAGCACGAGCACAACACCAGATTACCAGTTACGGCGTGTCACACAGCTAGTTTCCTCGGATTTCTAGATGTCTATTGCTGAGACCTTAGTAGACCGACTCATGAGTAAGTTTTGCACAAGAATGCGGAGAATCACCGAAGAAGGCGCTTGCAGACTCATGTTTGAGGTTCCCACGTGCAAGATCCTACTATTAGTTAGCATTTGCTAGTAGATAGTTTCTCCTCTTCTGCTGGAACCCCGACTTTGCGCGTATATATGTACCGATGTTTCCCCTCTTCTGCTGGAACCCCGACATCGCGCGTACTATATGTACCGATCTTTTATGTCATAAAAGGTCCTCTTCAGATAAAGGAATATGTAAGACTTATCGACGCTCCAGTAGTTCGCTTATTATGTTGTATTAGTGCTTCTTTTGGCAGTTTGTTTTCTATCTGTGTTATTGGCAGTCAATAACCAATGCTAATTAGCGAAGCGTGCTTCCTTTGGCCGTTTTCTTCCTTCATGACTTATTGCCAATCAATAACCGATCCAATTAGTTAAGCGCGACTGTCATACCCCGCGGACACGCGCCGGTGAGAGATCCGTAGGTTTCGAGAGGGGCGTGGCCCAAACTCTCTAGGGATCGATTTGGATCCAGTGGAGTGGATGTGGCCACACATACCCAGGGGACAGACGCCCATGAGGAATCGGAGTCCTGATAGAGAGGGGCGGAGCCCTAACTAAGATGATCCACGCCTACAATTTAAGCCTATAAAAGGATCCCTTCGCAGTTGGATAGGAAGTGTTCTACGTCACTCAACTACCTTTCACTCTGCTCCAGGAATCCGAAAGTTTGCTGTTGCTGGTCCGATTCCGATAGGAGACTCTCATGTTGTCTCTTTGAACCTGTTCGCGTGCAAAAATGACGGAATGTGACGCGCAGTCCTCTTGGCTTCGTGTTATCGAGTGTCGTGGATCGTATGCATACGCTTGTCCGGTTCGTCATTGGTATATTTCGTGCTGTGTATAGACTGTGATGACTCCGCTTTGTCCAGCCAGTGTAACGAATTTATGCTTGATCGTTATCGTTAGGCCATCAATGGGGTTTCATACTAAGCATTTATCAGGCAATTATAAACAAAGCATAGGATATAAGGTATAGCGGCAGACAGCGAATAAGGGCGGAATAACAGCAAAAGAATGGATGGGTAAGAAATGAGGTAGAGGATGGATAAGTTGTAAGATGAGGGTAACCAGGCAGGAGCTCGGATAATCTTATGCCGATACAACTTTGGATAAAAAGAACACATACAGAAGAAAAGGGGATAATAGAGAAAACTAATTGCATATAAAATAAGAAAGTAATTAAGCGAGTGGACGATGGCGAGCCGGCTCCGGTCGGCTCGCTTGTGGACTCTTTCTCTCTTCCTCTAGGGGCGGGACTCAGTTGTTCATATAGTTGGCGGGGGCGGGACAGGAGTGCAGGGCCAATAGCGCATTACCGTAACTAGCGCTTTTCCTACACCTTACCCCGCCGGAAAGTCCCGGTCCCCGGGGCTAAAAGAATTTTACAGGTGCGTCTTGGCAAATGGCGGTAACGTGGCCGACGGCATTGCAACGGAAGCAGATTGGGTTCTCTGTGCATTTATTTAGAGGATGATTTTCAAGGCAGCAAGGACAGAGCCTGTATTTTGGAAGAAGTATGCGGGCTCTTGTATGGAAAGGCATGGGTGATTGACAGTAGCGGGTAAGATGGGTAGTTTAATTGCAGAGAAGGCATATAGGTATCTTGCTCGGATTGAAACAGCGCCGCTCTGTGGGTCCGCGATATTGGTGTTTCAACCGATGATAGTATTGACGTTTATCCGGCTCTAGAGGTCTGGGAGAAAGACATAATTTGATTAAGCTTGGGATGGTTCCGCGAGGTTTTTCCTAATTGCGTGGTTGTGGTTGTACGGGAGTGCAGGAAGTCCTTTTGAGAGGAGGTTTGGGTGTGGTGAGAAGTCTTCTACGCGGGCAAAGCTTTGAGAAGCTGATTTTGGGATATGGATGGCTATTGTGGAAGGAGTGGTCCCTTCTGGGGGGTCTGTGGTAATGTGAGAGTCGTTAGCTTGGAAAGAGGAAGCGGAATAGGATACAATTGAATTCAGTTCAGATGTTGCGGTTACAGCGAGAGGCATTTCAGAAGAAGAAGTATTGTTTGGAGATGTTACATTCAAAGTTATGGTGGTCTGAAAGAGGAATAGGAGTAGGAGTACGGGAACGAGCTAAGAAAGGAGAAGGAGAGGACGAAGAAGAGAAAGAAGAAGAGGAATAAGATGAAGAAGAACGAGAATAAAACAACACAGGTGACTGTTGCGTGTGACGACAGCTGGATGACGATGAAGAGCGATCTCTTTCGACTGAAGCGTTTGGAGACGATGGGATGCATGTAAGTTGACATATGAAAGTGTTGAGTGCTTTTACTAGTTGTAGTTCACGTTCTGACAATTTTGACGTGTTTGGCATGTCATCGGAGTGGTCTGAGGCATGAGTGCTCCAGTGCAGCGAGGGCGCGCCGCGCGCCAAGCGTGCGTCGTGGCCTAATTGATTTCGGCGGGTGAAACCGCAATTCAAAATCGTTGCGTCATTTGTAACGCTATGATTGTTTGGCGTTCATTTGTGCGTGTGTTCGCCGGAATGGCATGTTCTTTCTCATTTATCTGTTCTTGCATTAGTTTTTTGGTTGTTTGTCGAAACTTCTGCCTTGTTAACTTTAATTGGGCCAATCTAGTATCCCGTTGTCACGTTGTTGCTTAATTTCGCAATAATTTGATTGTGTACGCGCTCAACTTGTCGCATTCGTCATAGTAATTTCTTATGATCTTATCGATTTTTTTCAGATGGCCCACTCTGTTGATCGGAGCTTCTGCCCCTCGCGTTGTTTTGAAAGAGGGGTTTGTTTCGCTAAAGGGGCCAATTACATCTGCGTCTGCTACGACATGGATGTATGTTCGAAAGATTGTGCTATTCCTGCTATTGGCTCACCTACGCAGGACCCATGTTTATTATCTGCTATGGGCAGTGATTGCGGGTGAGTGTTTTTTTCTGTTTTTTTTTCTCTGTTATTTTTTTATGATTTTTTCCAAACTACATACTTTTCTTTTAGCTTTCGCGGTTGCGACGTTGGCGTCAGCTGTATCTATTCGCCAAGTCGTCCGTGCATGCCGCACTCGGCGCTGGAAGCCCGGGCCGATAAACCGGTGATTTCCGTCTTGGTTTGTGATCCCTTGGGCAGGTAACGGCATGACGTGCACGGAATTTTGTTATGTTGTTTTGTGCTTGTTCGTGATGCCGTTGTTTTTTTTTGAGTGATGAGGTTTATTACGGTATGCTGGTGCTAACTTTACGGTAACAATGTGCAATATATTTTTTTCTGTCATGTTTCATGATATACTGTTAATAAAGGAATGCTGGTGTGCGGTGATGGGTTTTCAGGCTATGTTCTGTTGTATACTGAATTGTTTTGTTGTTCGTTAGCATCTTTTTTTCTTTATGGTTTTTTGATCATCTTATTGATTTATTATAGACCAGTCCAAAGCGCCGCTTCGCGGCGCTTTGGACTGGCTGTGCGTGTGAAGCGGGAATGTGACTGAAAGTCAAAACTTTTGAAGATTCGTAGCCTGCGAAGACTTTTGTATGCTCTCAAACTTTCACGCGTAAAGAAAACGTAACGTAAAAAAATTTTTGTGATTGGGCCCATCCCAAACCCGACAAAGTAATCCCAACCACGTGCTTTTCCCACCCGGGGCCCTGTTTCCCACATTAAGCGGCGACTCTCCAAACTGCTATAGAATCTCCACCGCTCTAATCAGACTATTTTTATCGCTTCCCGAAACTATTAGCAAGAAAATTCGTGATATTCTTGTAAATATGTAGCCAATATTAAAACTACCAAATCTAGAGTTTTCCAAATTCGAACACTCCCTCTTTCTTTTCACAAAGTATCCTTTCTTGAAAGCGTCATACTCAGGGCCCGGCACAGATCGTCTGGAAGCAGGCTGGACTTCGTTTTCAGAGCAAAAAGCAAAGAAGATATCGTTTTTGGTGCCGAACAACAAGAATAAGCGCCATTTAGTTGAACACAAGCTTCTCGGACAGGTTACCACACGACTGACATGCTCTATCGTGTATGGCGGAAAGTACGCGCGATTTGAAAGCAAGGCTAAAATAAACAAATTGCTTGTTTACAGCGCACACAGAACCGTTTGACACCAAAATTGGACTGTGAGCATAGAATATTATTTGAGGAAGAATTATGTAAAAAGTATTGGAAACTTATGTGAAGGAATGCCTTTTCCAAATTTAGATCGTCTCCAGACGGCCACCAGACGATCTGAGATCGTCTGAAGCATATATTTCTGTCAATTCACATAAGTTTCGAATTTTTCTATCATGGACAGTTTCCCCGGTCAAAATTCTATCCCTGAGCATGAAGACATTTTCATATCATTGCCTTTCCTTTGTTTTTTGCCTTAATTTTTTCATTTATCGCCTTGTAAAATATCGCGCTCCAATGCCAAACCCTTGCGCATGCGTAGTATTCAGCTCCAATTTGGGTTTTCACACTTATTTCACATTTTTTTTTCTTTCAGATTAATAAACCTCTCTCGTTTTTATCTTCTTTGAAGTAGGTGGGTCAAAGGGGACTTCGTAAATTTTCTGAAAGTCAGGGTAGACTTCGTTTTCGGAAACCCTAGGAACCGACTCGTGCCGGGCCCTGGTCATACTTCCTCTTCCACTTCAAAAAATTGCACTATCAAAACTCTCGTTCACGTTTTATGAAGTTCCCAAACTGTCCAGCATTCTTGCAATTCATCCGTAGGCTCCAAAATCCACTCAATTTTCAGGTTATCTTATTGAGCAAACTCAAATTCTTGAAGGGACCTACATAAAGGTGTTCATGCTTCAAGCTGTTCACCTAAGCAGACCTCTCTTCCTTAAGCACTTCTGAGGTTGTGCAGTATTTTGGCAAAGCTGCGCATAGGTTAGTAAAGCTTCAGTTTATGTAAAGTCAACGTGCATGCCACCTTGTCTCTAATTCGTAGCTGATATAAACGGCAGATTCATACAGTATTTAGTCCTAATAAAATCAATCACCATCGCATTGATATTATTCTACTTTACTCTTCGATTTTTTAATGTTTGAAGGAAATCTGAATTTGAAAATGGTTTCTTTTTTACTTTTTCCTAGCTGAAGAAGATTTTTGCATCCAGCTTTCATCGAGTTTCAAGACAGTTCGCATGACCACGCTGAATTCGTTCAAAGATAGTGTTTCGTACAAATCTTGGCAACTTTCGAAAAGGTTTACACAGTAATGAGATGTCAACTCGATGGAGTCAAAGATTTTCAAAGTTCATCAACTTCAACAAACATTTTTGCATGTGAATTGAGAAGAAACTAAGGAATTGCCTTTGCTGTTGGCACTTCAAACGAAATGCTCATTCAAAAAAATCGTAGGCATAGATGTCCAAAGTAAAGTTTGCGAGAAACCTCCACAAACAGATTTAGTGCAGTTTGTCTAAAATAATAACTAAACGCTAAGCATTTCATGGAGAACTTCAACTTCCCTGTTGAGATATGTTAGCAGAAAAATTAAAAGGACAGATTAATTGAAGATTTGGCGCAACTGTTTTACGGTGAGGAAACATACTAAGCACTCGAAAAATGAACTATGGAAGGATGCAGTATTTTGCTAAAATACCCAACTTTTTTGAAAAACTTATGCTGCACTCCAAATTAAACGCTCCATGGTAGAAATAAAAAAGCGGGATGCCAAAAAAAAGAAGGTAATGGTGGTGAGATAATGTACAAACGATTTAACCAACTTTCGATGATTTTCGAAATGAAGCTATTACAGTCAGTGGGACAGCTTAATCAATTTAGCCGCTGACAGTTCCCGTGGTGTTAATTTCGCTGCTTTGGTGCCAACTCATAAACATGCTGAAGAGCATAACCGAAAACATATGGAGGCAGCACTGTATGATATGACGTCATCAGCGCGACCCATCTTGGCTGCCGGACGCTTCCCATTGGTGGTAGACAACGCCGGATTTTTAATAGACATCTATGCTGACTCACATGGTGGATGTTAGCGCTTTATATAATAGTATGGATTACTATTAACGAAATAAAATGCAACCAATTAATCAAAATACTTTACTCCCATCGTTCGTATTTAACTATTAATTTATTGAATTGCGTCTTAAAATTGCATAAACCATTCCCAAAGAACCAAGGTTTTGAATAGTTAATTTAAGTTAAGACAGGTATCACTACCATTGTGATCGCTCTTTGGGCTATGCCATTTAATCAAAATCGTCTAAGACAGGCATCACTACCATTGTGATCGCTCTTTGGGTTATGCCATTTGATCAACATCGTCTAAAACAGGCATCACTACCATTGTGATCGCTCTTTGGGTTATGCCATTTGATCAACATCGTCTAAGACAGGCATCACTACCATTGTGATCGCTCTTTGGGTTATGCCATTTGATCAACATCGTCCAAGACAGGCATCACTACCATTGTGAGTCATCAGCTCGGTACGCTCGCACCGGCACAAAACGACATACATGTTTACACCTCTGCCGCGACTGACGACGTCAGATGGGGGTGCTTGCGCTTTATATATAGTATGATGTGGCAGTCGGTCGATAGAAGTTTTTGTATGGATCGCTGCAGTGAAAGAGGAGTGTGCTTTGGTCTAAGCGGGAACGAATTCAAATGCGTATGCTACGAAGTGGATGACTACTCTATCAATTGTAATGGAGTCGCAACTAAGGTACCGACGGAAGCGGATAGAGTGGAGTGGGAGTTGATAGCAGGCTATCCATCGGTAAGCCTTGAAATTAGACTTTTATGCTTTTGTTTTTTTTTCTCTTTTCGTTTTTTTTTTGTTTTGATATGTATGGTATTCTTGGCACTCCTCCTACTGATGAGTTTTTTGGCCGTATGTGTCGGCTTCTGAAAGCGTCGATGCCGCAAGTGCTTTGACGGAGGTGTTCGATTTGTCCTTCGTGAAGCGGCGAGAAGATGCGGCGAGTCCCCTGCAGGGCCGCCGGCCGGAGAGGAGAGGAGAGGTGTGCCGGCATGCGGCTAGTGTTTATTGTGTTTATTTCTCGTAAATAAGTTTTCTGTAAATATGTATATATTTCATTTTATAAGTACTTGTTATCTAGTTAACCATTGTTATGTATAGTATAGAGGATTTTGTATATGCAATGTCAGGATGTATTAGGTCGTCCCAAAAGTATTTTCGCTTTTTTTGAACAAGCGCCAAAGTCCGCAGAACAAAGGTTTATACTCAGAAAATTGCCGGGGGCAGGCGGGCACCGGAAAGATAGATTGCTGATCTCTCGCACCCCGCTCGCGGATTTTTTGGAAAGCATTCAGGACTTTTCGGAAGACCGCTTGCTGAGTTCTCGATTCCTCAGAGATTCAGCAATATATCTGCAAAAGATAAGAGCGAAACAAATTCAACAGGCGGTCTCTCAAAAATCCGCTGACTCAGCAAGCGGTCTTTCGAAAAGTCCTGATTGCTTTGCAAAAAATCCGCGGGCGGGGTGCGAGAAATCAGCAATCTATTTTCCCGGTGCCCGCCTGCCCCCGGCGATTGTCTGAGTAGGAGCTTTTGGTAGCATTCGATGTAGTTTCTCATGCTCTTTCAAATGATCATCATTATAATGCAGAAGAAGCAACAAGTTCTCAGAAAATTGCTATAAACTGTGACCCATGCTTTTTACCAAGGTCAAGTTCAGCTATTTTTCTAAATTCTTGTACTGATCCCCCGAAGAAGTCCAAGTAACCTGTCGATAGAGCAAACAAAGTAGGATGCAAAACAATTCTTGTTCCTTCCATAGCTTACTTTGAAAATTTTGAAAAAATTAAAACTATTTTTTCGATGCTATCAAATTCCGTATTTGGTCAACTTAAATCTCATAGAACAACAGCTGGCGAGCAATCGGGTGTTATTCGACGCAGCATTTTCTCCTCTTTCAGAGACATGTTTTCTGTTCCTGATTCGAGAAGTCTTGGAGGACAAAATCGACAAAATTCATGTTTTTAAGGAACCCTAGGCTGTACCCAACAAATCAAGAACTAGATATTCTGAACCCCGGAACGCTCACATGTTTCGTAAAATTAGTGCTGAATTCTAATCCACTTTGCAAGTATCAAAAATCGAGAATTTAGTGGAGTTTGACGAGTCTGCGTCTGGTATGAGACTCCTAAAATTCGATAGTGTTGTTCAAAATTCTGTCAAAAAATTATGGAGAGCCCTGAGAAGGGAGGAACGGAATTTATCTACCCAGAAAGGCATGCCGCCATGTAATTAGCAGGGGACATGAGAGGTCATGAACTGTCAGCAGCGTTAATTTGCACCCAATTTGCACCGAAGACAAGCAGATTTTGCTCACGACAGATACGACATCATCCTACAGTGTACGAAATCAGGATTTCATTCAAATTTGAATTCAAAGTTCAGTAGTGAAATTAGTCCAACTAGGGTAAAAATTTGTATTTAGAGGTAATCTGCCATGCTGGTTCCAAATATGATAGTGGTTTTGCGTGAAAACTCAAAATTTTCTCTTTTTGAATTTTAATCTTGTTTTCAAAAATTTTTGGCAAAAAACTCAAAACTGTCATTTGAGGGTTTTCCATGATGCTGTTTTCGAATATGCTAATGTTTTCGCCGAAAACTTTGAAGAATTTTTCTTTGATTCCCAGCTATCATTAAAATCTGATGTTATTAAATTATTTTAGACACTACAATTAGTTTCCTTAAAGAGCAGCTACTGAATTATCACTTAATTCTTGAAAAATGATAAAACATTTGCTTTTATCAGCATTGATAGGCATGACTGTAATGCACGTGGCTTGAGAACATCTGTCAAAAAAAAGATATTATGATGTGCGAACACAGAGACGACGAGTACAATCAGAGCAATAAAATGACCAAAAATGCCTATGGGAATGAAAGGCTGGTAAAACAGTTTGAAATTGTTTAAATTTAAACAGATTAAAATTCAAAAAGAGAAAATTTTGAGTTTTCATGCAAAACCACCATCATATTTGGAACCAGCATGGCAGATTACTACTAAACACAAATTTTTACCCTAGTTGGACTAATTTCATTACTGAACTTTGAATCCAAATTTCAACGAAATCCCGATTTCGTACACTGTAGGATGATGTCGTATCTGTCGTGAGCAAAATCTGCTTGTCTTCGGTGCAAATTGGGTGCAAATTAACGCTGCTGACAGTTCATGACCTCTCATGTCCCCTGCTAATACATGGCGGCATGCCTTTCTGGGTAGATAAATTCCCGCACCCATCCACAAGAATTTAGAAAAATAGTGGAACTTGACATTGGTAAAAAGCATGGGTCGCCGTTTATCGCAATTTTCTGATAGCTCATTGTGTCAACTGCTGAACAAAGATATCATTTGAAAGAGCATGAAAAACTGCGTCGAATGCTTCCAAGGGCTCCTATAAAACTTTGTTTTGCGGACTGTGGCGGCTGTTCAAAAAAAGCGAAAATACATTTGGGACGACCTAATATTATATTTCTGATTTATGTGGTGCTATTATCATTCCTGGTATCTTTGTGATTCTTATTGTAGCCAGTCTTCTATTCTAGTGGTTTTCCTCAGTGGCGTACCGAGGGGGGGGGGGCGCGCGCCCCCCCCCCCCGAGAATGGGTCGCGAAATTTTTGAAAGTTACTTATATGGGTTATAAAAATGTGCAAGTGACTTGTTTATTTTTGTAAATAATTAAAATAACTTTTAAAAATTTTTAAAAATTCAAATTAGCCTTGTAAAAAATTTTTTTTCGGGGGCATGGCTCACGCCACGCCCCTTTTTTTCCAGATTTCAGGGGTCGGGGACCCGCGAAAATTCTGAGAAGCACCCCCAAAATTTCGGAGTGCATGGCTAAAGCCACGCACCTTCTTTAGAAAAAAATTTTTGTCGCCCCCCCCCCGAGCCGAAATCCTGGGTACGCCACTGGTTTTCCTATATTTTGTGCAATTAAAGGTTTCGTTAGTTGTGTCTAATTGTGAACGAAGGTTTAACCCCATAATATGCATTTGTATGCTACTCAGTTGCAGAATTGTATGGCTTCAACCGATTCATGTGAATGGTGCGGAGGCGACGCCCATCCTGAACAATCCCAGGACGCTCAATGTCGACAATAGGAAAGGGACCCTCAAATTTAGGTGCGATTTTCGGACCTACGTCTTTTCTAATTAATACCTTTTGTCCTATCTGGAAGTTAGCGGGACTGGCCCTTTTTCTCAAATCATAGTGGTGTTTTTGGAGTATTGGGAAGTGATTAGGTTATGTTGCACTTCTTTCCAAACATTCTGGAGGGCGGATGTTAGTCGTTCAACATAGTCTTCTTCACTTATAAAGGTTTTGGAGGGCAGTTGTAATGCTAGGTGGAAGGCGTTGTTGGCTTCTCTGCCGTGGATGATAAAGAATGGGGTGTATTTGGTAGAAGCGTTTTCAGAGGCATTATAAGCGTGGGCATCAAATGTATACTGTCATCCCGTTGGTCTTCCCTTTGGGTGACAGCGGTGGAAATCAATTCCTCTATCGTTTTTAGCGCGTTCTACTTGACCATTGCTTTCATGGTGGTAAGGAGTGCTAGTTTTATGGGAGATGTTTAAAACCTTGAGGGTGTTACGAAAGACGTCACTCATGAAGTTTGAGCTTTGATCCGTTACGAGTGTTTCGGTTGGACCAAAGCGACTCACCATCCGATGTACAAACAGTCCGCTGTGGTGGTGGCCTTTTGGTCTGGTATGGGCTCGGCAACTACTAGCTTGGAGAATGCGTCTACAAAAACTATGATAAATTTATTTCCCTGTAGTGTTAACGGTAGGGGGCCAATAAAATCTGAGTGTACGCGCTGGAATGGTCCTCTAGGTACTTCAGAACGATTTAGTGGTTCGTTAGTGCGATAGACTGAGGGATCTTTTCGCAGTTGGCAGATGGTACAAGATCTAATAAAGTCGCTGATGTCACTTGACATTCTATTTCAAATTGCTATTCTACTTATCGTGGCTTTGGTTTTTTGTATGCCTAAGTGGGCGGTGCCGAAGCGTGAGTCATGTACTTGCTTAATGAGCACATTCTTAATGTTAGAGTCTTCCGAAAGTACGATTTGGAAATCTTGGTAAACCTTTTCTGGCAGCTTGTAAAGGATGTCATTCAAAATAATGTAGTCTCTAACGTAAGGATTAGGTTCATCGTTTTCGATAGCTCGTTTGTAAGAGGCTATCGTTTTATTTTGTTCTTCCTTTATGTGGTCCATAATATCAGGTGAAGATAAGTCACTATTAACATTATTTTGTATGCGGGTAGCGTTTACTTGAGGCGGATGCCTGGAGAGGGGGTCACAAACAACACTAGCTTTATCGGGTCGATAGACAATAGTGATGTCAAATTCTTGCAAGATGATTTGGTATTTCGCTAATCTACCCGTTAGATCTTTTCTGTGTAAGAGTGCTTTGAGAGGCGTGTGGTCAATCACAGTGCAAGTCGCACCGTCAATGTACGGACGGAACTTTTGTACTGCGAAGACCACTCCCAGCGCTTCCAGTTCTATCGCGGGGGTAACGGGATTCGTGGATATCAAAAGTTCGGCTAGCATAGGCAATTACCTTCAGAGTATCATTCTGTTCTTGTTTCAGGACACCTGCAACAGCCTTCCCGGAGCTGTCCGCCTCAATGACGAAGGGAAGGCCCAACCTTGGAGCAACAAGGATTGGAGCGGCGGTGAGTGCTAATTTCAAACATTTCATGGAGTTTTCACATTCTGGGGTCCATATAAAAGGCGCGTCCTTCTTAGTTAACGCGGTTAGAGGAGAGGCTATAGCCGCGAAGTTATGCACAAATCTCCTAAAGAAGGAGAACATGCCTAAGAAAGCTTTAACGTCGGTAGGTCTTCTAGGAATTGGATAATTGTCGATTGCTTTCGTTTTTTCGGGGTTTGGTTTTATCCCGTCTTTACTAAGGACGAAGCCTAAAAACCTGATTTCCTTGCGTGCAAATTCACATTTCGATGCTTTCAGCTTCATTCCAATCTGCTCTATTTTGGTTAAAACTTCGTCAATGTCTGTAAGATGTTTACTGGGTGTTTCGGAGGTAATAATTGAATCATCAATATATTAGGTTGAACCGAAAGTTCGTTCGCACCATTTTCAAAAATTCATAACTTCTTTCCCTCACGACGGTTTTGCGCAATCTAAATTTTATCGAAAAGAGTAAAGCATGTAGTTTTCAATAGTCTCCTGGGTACTTTCCAGCATGTTCAGATTGGAGAGATAGAAATGAAGGAACGAAAACATCCGAAATTCGGAATTTTTGAGAAACAATTCCAAAAATCTAGAAACTGCGCGATAAAATCCAGAAAAGCCATTATCCTAATTTTTCTTATATTTGATTACTAACTGAGTTAAGTTTATGCTGATCGAGCCCTTCTTTCAAAAGTTATGATTTTTTGAAAAAAATGCCGAAAAATCAATTTCTTAGGAATTCTTAGGAAAGTGATTTTTCGGAATTTTTTTCAAAAAATCATAACTTTTGAAAGAAGAGCTCGATGAGCACAAACTTAACTTAGTTAGTGATAAAATATAAGAAAACTTAAAATGGTGGCTGTTCTGGATTTAATCGCACAGTTTCTAGATTTTTAGAATTTTTGCTTAAAAATTCCCAATTTCGGATGATCTTGTTCTTTCATTTTTATCTCTGTAACCTGAGCATATTGGAAAGCTGCCAAGGCACTTTTGGAAACTACGTGCTTTACGCTTTCTGATAAAATTTGAACTGCGCAAAATCACCGTGAGTGAAAGAAGTTATGATTTTTTGAAAATGGTGCGACAGAACTTTCGGTTCAACCTAATATATAAAAACGCGGGCTCTTAGAGATGCTTTTTGAAATCGTCCATTATCCTTTGGAAAGTTGCAGGGGCTTCTTTTAGCCCCATAGGCACTCGTATATATTCGAATGCGCAGTGCGTTTCTTCTAGAGGAATTTGGTGGAAGCCTTGTTGGAAATTGAGGGAAGAGTATAAACAGTTGTTTGCGCACAGATCAATAAAGTCTTGAATGTTAGGGAGAATCAACTGTTGAGGCTTAGTTATGGCATTAAGTCTTCTGAAGTCGATGGTAAATCTGCATGAAGTGGCATCCCGCTTACGTGCTAAAACTATAGGGGCACAGAATGGGGAAGCTGACTCACGGATGATTCCGTCTTTCAACATCTGCGTTATTTGATGTTCAATTTCGGTTCTTTTCTCAAGCGATACGCGGTAGATTTTCCTGGTTGATATTGTAGCGTTGTCTATGGGATCTATGCGATGTCGAATAGGTCCGTTGTAGTGCCCTAGGTGATCGTCTGGTCCAACAAAAGCTTTGAATGAAGGCGTATGATAGTTGTTAACTGTTCTATTTGTTCTGGTGCTAAAGCGGATTTACTGAAGTCTATTTCCTTGGCTATATCGTAATTGCCTAGTGTTGGAACTGGAAAATGGAAATCTTTTCTTTTCAATCTGCCTCAGAAGGAACTTATTCTTGTATAGCCAGTATCTGTTCAACTGGTGAAGATACGGGGGTGGCGTATACTACACTCATTTTCTCATAAAGTTTGATGTCAGTGTAGGAAGGGTTCACAATATGGTAATAAGGCATATTCCATCGACAGATGGGCGAGTCAGTGATCTGCCCACAACATATAAAAGGTTTACGTCTCTCTGGTTATCCTCAATGATAAAGTCAAATGGACTATTAGGCGGGTGGTTTTCAACGAAAGCTGGTAAATAGAGGAGGACCTTTTGGGTAGAATAGTAGTGTGCAAAAGGCGTACGTCCTGCGGTTTCACTTCTACAAAGTTAATAGATTTGGATCATGTCGTGTGCGTCACTGCCTATTGTGAGCAGATTATTATGTAAATCAATAGTAACTTTCAAGCCTTGCTTGTTCAACTTTTTGATGAAGTCGGTGCCGATGAGGACTGGAGCGGGACACTGGTGATCTTGCGACACCAGAAATCTATGAGGTACGACGTGTGTCTCTATATCTACATTTACAATTACTGAGGCTAAAAGTTCTATTTGGGATCCGTTGGCCGCTTGTGCTTTTACATGGTTATTATCTATCCTAATATCTGGTCCCAATGCGTGCAGGGTAAATTGTTTCATGTAAGAGATTGTGTGCCGCTGTAAATCAGAGCCGAGGCCGAAGTCTGATTCAAGGTTATTCTTACATATGGTAGTGGATTTCTTACGTGGCTAGCTAGAGCAGTTATTGCATAAATGCGGGGAATAAATAGGGATTCCTGAGGAGGCAATTCTATTACGAGCGCATTGACTTGTTGTCGATTACGTAGCTGTTTCTGTAAAGTTACTGGCTAGTTCGAACATGTGAAGCTGCTGTATTGGATGATTTCCTTATAAGATAAAGTTTTACGCAACAAATACATATTGCAACAAGAATAACTCCCGCTAGCGCTGGTATCGTTATCCATAAAAGTAGCGCTATAAGGGATCTAATGGTTTCTATGCCCTCAGTGAGTTTGTTGGTGGTTTTATCATGGACCGCAGACAGAGAGTCACTTATTGTGTTTTTCACATCCTTGATTTTGTCGAGACGCAGACTAATTAGAGTCCGACAGTCCCCTCGCCGACTTGAGCGGTGCCACCAACTTCAGATGAGCTGGCACTCCCCGGGTGCTCGGTGGTCCCCTCCCCAATTATGTTCCCCCATATTTATATTGATGTTATAACGATAAAAGAATCTAGTCAAGAATTGTTATGTTAGTACAAAGGGAAGAAACTTAGGGTAGAGGGATCAAGTTAAGAGAATAGCTAACTCTTCAAACTTGACATGGAGGTTCCGGGTTTTTTCTGAACTTTTGTCGCATAGCTTTTTTTACTAAAAAAAATCTAAGCATAGATTAGGCCAATCTCTGCTGAAAACTCTCACCACCGGCACCAGCCCTCATCTCCTACGTGAATTACGTAGCCCTCTTTTATATTTACCCTTTCTTTTCTCTTTTCCCTTGAGTCCAGGCGATGGGTCTGAGTGTGTTTTTCTTATTTGTCATATTTTTTTCGTGTCATAGTGGGTAATGAATATAATCATGTATTCTTTACCTACTGTGAGTTTGACAGTCTTTTTTTGTTTCATAGCA